ATGAAGGACGGGACATTCTGGGTAGTCTGTCTCTCTCTCTGATATGAAGGACGGGACATTCTGGGTAGTCTGTCTCTCTCTCTGATATGAAGGACGGGACATTCTGGGTAGTCTGTCTCTCTCTGATATGAAGGATGGGACATTCTGGGTAGTCTGTCTCTCTCTCTCTCTGATATGAAGGACGGGACATTCTGGGTAGTCTGTCTCTCTCTCTGATATGAAGGACGGGACATTCTGGGTAGTCTGTCTCTCTCTGATATGAGGAGGGACGGGACATTCTGGGTAGTCTGTCTGTCTCTCTGATATGAAGGACGGGACATTCTGGGTAGTCTGTCTCTCTCTGATATGAAGGACGGGACATTCTGGGGGTCTGTCTCTCTCTCTGATATGAAGGACGGGACATTCTGGGTAGTCTGTCTCTCTCTCTGATATGAAGGACGGGACATTCTGGGTAGTCTGTCTCTCTCTCTGATATGAAGGACGGGACATTCTGGGTAGTCTGTCTCTCTCTCTGATATGAAGGACGGGACATTCTGGGTAGTCTGTCTCTCTCTCTGATATGAAGGACGGGACATTCTGGGTAGTCTGTCTCTCTCTCTGATATGAAGGACGGGACATTCTGGGTAGTCTGTCTCTCTCTGATATGAAGGACGGGACATTCTGGGTAGTCTGTCTCTCTCTGATATGAAGGACGGGACATCTGGGTAGTAGTCTGTCTCTCTCTCTGATATGAAGGACGGGACATTCTGGGTAGTCTGTCTCTCTCTGATATGAAGGACGGGACATTCTGGTAGTCTGTCTCTCTCTCTGATATGAAGGACGGGACATTCTGGGTAGTCTGTCTCTCTCTCTGATATGAAGGACGGGACATTCTGGGTAGTCTGTCTCTCTCTGATATGAAGGACGGGACATTCTGGGTAGTCTGTCTCTCTCTGATATGAAGGATGGGACATTCTGGGTAGTCTGTCTCTCTCTCTCTGATATGAAGGACGGGACATTCTGGGTAGTCTGTCTCTCTCTGATATGAAGGATGGGACATTCTGGGTAGTCTGTCTCGGTCTCTGATATGAAGGACGGGACATTCTGGGTAGTCTGTCTCTCTCTCTGATATGAAGGACGGGACATTCTGGGTAGTCTGTCTCTCTCTGATATGAAGGACGGGACATTCTGGGTAGTCTGTCTCTCTCTGATAGGAAGGACGGAACATTCTGGGTAGTCTGTCTGATTTTGGGGGGTCTCTGTTTTATTATGTATACCTTTGTTTTTATCTTGTGTTCTGTGTCTTTAAGACTTTTCTATCTGTAGTAAAATATCTTTTTTAAACAGTTGGTTGCATAAGAATTAGGTTTATTGTTTCTTACTTTTTTTTAGGTATTTTGGAACTTCCCTGATATCTCTGTAAGGTAATACAATGCAGGAATGGGTATTGGGGGACTTTTTCTGGGGGCTGCAGTTCCTCTTAACTCCACAAGATGGTGATCTTATTTCTACTACCCAGACAGGACTTCTCTATGGAATACGGACAGGACAGACAGGAAGTGATGTTGTGATGTCAGGAACAGGCAGGAAGTGATCTGGAATAAAGATAAGACGTTCCCTTTGGTCTGAAGGAGATCGGAGAGGTTGCTGGACGTGGCAGTAGAGGAGGTAATTATTATACAGGATTTATGGCGCTAACAGTTTGCTCAGCGCTGTACAATATAACAGGAAACAATACAGATCAATACAAGAGGGATAGGAGGGCCTGATCCTGGGAGCTTACAATCTAGAGGGCCTGATCCTGGGAGCTTACAATCTAGGAGGGAGGGGCTAGTGGTACAATAGGTAGTAACTGTGGGGGATGGACTGGTAGGAGGAGTAGAAGATTCCATTATTAGCTGAGGGCGGGATAGGCTTCCCTGAAGAGATCGGTTTTCAGAGATCACCTAAAAGTGAGCAGAGTAGGCGATAGTCTGATAAATTGGGGTAGAGAGTTCCAGAGGATGGGGGAAGCTCTGTAGAAGTCCTGGAGACGAGCATGGGAGGAGGAGACAAGGGAGCTAGAGAGCAGGAGGTCTTGTGAGGAGCGGAGAGGAAGGTTTGGGTGATATTTAAAGACAAGATCGGTGATGTAATTTGGGGCGGAGTTATAAATGGCTTTATATGTTATTGTTAATGTTTTAAATTTTATCCGTTGGGCAACAGGAAGCCAGTGGAGGGATTGGCAGAGAGGGGTGGGGACACTGAGTGGAGGCCGGTGGAGGGATTGGCAGAGAGGGGTGGAGGACACTGAGTGGAGGCCAGTGGAGGGATTGGCAGAGAGAGGGTGGAGGACACTGAGTAGAGGCCAGTGGAGGGATTGGCAGAGAGGGATGGAGGACACTGAGTAGAGGCCAGTGGTGGAGGGATTGGCAGAGAGGGATGGAGGACACTGAGTAGAGGCCGGTGGAGGGATTGGCAGAGAGAGGTGGAGGACACTGAGTAGAGGCCAGTGGAGGGATTGGCAGAGAGGGGTGGAGGACACTGAGTAGAGGCCGGTGGAGGGATTGGCAGAGAGGGGTGGAGGACACTGAGTAGAGGCCAGTGTGGTGGGATTGGCAGAGGGGGGTGGAGGACACTGAATGGAGGCCAGTGGATGGATTGCAGAGAGAGGGGTGGAGGACACTGAGTGGAGGCCAGTGGAGGGATTGGCAGAGAGGGATGACAGATACAGGACGGTTAGTAAGGTGGATGAGTCTGGCAGCAGCATTCATGATAGACTGAAGAGGGGATAGCCTGCGATGAGGTCAGCCAATGAGGAGGGAGTTACAAGTCAAGGCAAGATACAAAAAGGAGTGAATAAGTTGCTTAGTGGTTTCCGAGGTTAGGAACGGGCGTATCTTGGGGATGTGTGGAGGTGAAGTCTACAAGATTTGGACAGTGATTGGATTTGGGGGTGAAAGGACAGATGGGAGTCTAGGATTACACCTAGTACCCTGGCATGAGGGAGGGACTGATGATTGTGTTATTGATCTTGATGGAGAAGTCGGGGGGGGGGGCACGGGCTGGGGGGGAATACTAAGAGCTCAGTTTTGGAAAGATTGAGTTTGAGGAAGTGGAGTGACATCCATGCCGATATGTCACTTAGTAGGTTAGTAATGCGGGAGGAGACTGAGAGAGAGAAGACTGAAGGGCGAGTGAGGAGACTGAAGGGGCGAGGTGAGGAGGAGACTGAAGGGGCGAGGTGAGGAGGAGACTGAAGGGGCGAGGTGAGGAGGAGACTGAAGGGGCGAGGTGAGGAGGAGACTGAAGGGGCGAGGTGTGGAGGAGACTGAAGGGGCGAGGTATGGAGGAGACTGAAGGGGCGAGGTGTGGAGGACTGAAGGGGTGAGGTGAGGGGTAGAAAGATAGATTTGTGTGTCATCAGCATAGAGATGGTACTTAAAGCCATGGGAGTTTATCAAGTGACCAAGGGAAGAGGTGTAGATGGAGAGGGAGTGAAGAGGAGGAGGCGGAGTTATAGGTAACACTGAAGGAGCGCTGCAATAGGTAGGAGGAGAACCAGGAGAGAGCAGAGTCTCTGAGGCCAAGAGAGTGGGTTTTTGAGGAGGAGGGGGATGGTCAATAGTATCAAAAGCCACAGAGAGGTCAAGTAGTAAGAGTATGGAGTAGTGGCCATTGGCTGGGATGAGTACGGAGTAGTGACCATTGGTTGGGATTAATACAGAGTAGTGGCCATTGGTTGGGATGAGTACGGAGTAGTGACCATTGGTTGGGATGAGTACGGAGTAGTGGCCATTGGTTGGGATGAGTACGGAGTAGTGGCCATTGGTTGGGATGAGTACGGAGTAGTGACCATTGGTTGGGATGAGTACAGAGTAGTGGCCATTGGTTGGGATTGGTATGGAGTAGTGGCCATTGGTTGGGATGAGTACGAAGTAGTGGCCATTGGTTGGGATGAGTACGGAGTAGTGACCATTGGTTGGGATGAGTACGGAGTAGTGGCCATTGGTTGGGATGAGTATGGAGTAGGCCGTTGGTTGGGATGAGTACGGAGTAGTGACCATTGGTTGGGATGAGTACGGAGTAGTGGCCATTGGTTGGGATTGGTATGGAGTAGTGGTTATTGGTTGGGATGAGTACGGAGTAGTGGCCATTGGTTGGGATGAGTACGGAGTAGTGGTCATTGGTTGGGATGAGTACGGAGTAGTGACCATTGGTTGGGATGAGTACAGAGTAGTGGCCATTGGTTAGGATGAGTACGGAGTAGTGGCCATTGGTTGGGATGAGTACAGAGTAGTGGCCATTGGTTGGGATGAGTACGGAGTAGTGGCCATTGGTTTTAGCAGTTAGTAGATCATTAGTGAGGTTTAGTAGGGCGGTGTCAGTGGAGTGTAGTGAGCGACAGCCAGACTGTGAAGGGTGAAGAAGGTTGTTGTCGGTGAGGGAGGAGCTCAGGCGATTGTAGACTAAACGTTCTAGGAGTTTAGAGGTAAATGGCAGCAGGGAGATGGGTCTTAAGTTGTTCAGGTCGGTGGGGTCCAGGGAGGGCTTGTTAAGTATGGGAGTGATGTGCGCATGCTTTGGAGGGGAGGGGAAGGCACCAGTAGAGAGGGAAAGATTGAAGATGTGAGTGAGGGAGCATAGGATGGAAGAAGAGGGTGACCGTAGTAGTTGTGAGGGGACAGGATCCAGGGGGCAGGTGGTGAGACGGGCTTCTGAGAAAACCTAGTGACCTCTTCAGTAGTAGCGAGGTCAGAAGAGGAAAGTGTTGAGGGAGGTTTAGTATAAGGTATGCTAAGTGGGATGGATGTCTGTGCAGTGGTGATGTCCCTACGAATTGCGTCAATCTTCTTTTTGAAATGATTTGCAATCTCGTGAGCAGTGAGTGAGGTACTGGGTGGAGGTGGGGGGTGAGATAGTGGAGGACCAGGGTTTTGGGAGATATCCCCAGAGGTTAGGAGAAGAAGGGTGATGAAAATAAGATGGAGCGGGATGTACACGAGCGCACATGACTTCCAGTCCTGGTGTTTGGGTCAGCAGGAGGTAATGAGAGCAGTAGTAGGGAGATGGTCTTCCTCCATAGTCACTGTGATGTCTTTTATCTCCAGCAGATGATGATACACATCAATATTTAGAAGGACACCAGGATCTCTACAAGGACGTCATGATGGACAATCAGCCGCATCCCTCACATCACCGGGTAAGAGGAGACTTTATTGTAAAGGAGAGAGCAGTACGGAGGATCCACCTAGATCCCCCATCATCTGATAAACACATAGAAACAATGGATTCAGTCAGTGTGTGTGTTTCCTACAGATGGATCCAGTCATGGGAACCCACCAGAGAGAATGTCCCGTCCTCTGTATTCCCGGGATTCCACACAGGAAGGTCACACCATCCCTCACCATCATCAGGTAGATGAGGAACAAATCACTGATAGTATCATTAGGATCTGTACATTATCTGCATTGTTACACCATTGATGTCATTTTATTATACAGTTGTGACCAAAATTATTCAACCCCCACTGAAATTGAGTGTTTTGGCCAGTTTGACATTGCTTTTGATCATTCAGTCATCTTGCTTACATTTACATTAAAGAGGCACTTGTAGGTCAGACAAATATAACATAACAGTTATAATGAAATAACCACAAATGTCTTTTCTGTGCTCACAGCATTATCAGTTTTATTCAACCCCAAGTGACATTCAATCTTAGTACTTAGTACAGCATCCTTTTACAGTTATAACAGCTTTTAAACGTGAAGCATAGCTTGACACAAGTGTCTTGCAGCGATCTACGGGTATCTTCGCCCCATTCTTCATGGGCAAAGGCCTCCAGTTCAGTCACATTCTTAGGCTTGCGCACTGCAACTGCTTTCTTTAAGTCCCACCAGAGGTTCTCAATCGGATTTAAGTTGGTGACTGCGATGGCCACTCCAAAATGTTCCTGCACTTTTCCTCTGCAACCATGCTCTAGGTGGACTTGGAGGTATGCTTGGGATCATTGTCCTGTTGAAACGGTCCAACGTCTCCTCTCCCCATGCCTCAGGTGTGTGACGGAACGGCATTCACGTTTCCATCCAATATCTCCTGGTACTGAGAGATTTCTTGGTACCTTGCACACTCTGAAGCTTCCTGTACCTGCAGAAGCAAAACAGCCCCAATGCATGATTGACCCTCCACATGCTTCACAGTATGGCAAGGCTGTTCTTTTCATCATTGCCTTGTTCTTCCTCCTCCAAACATGCGTTGATCCAATGGGCCAAAAGTTCTAAATTTGTTTCATCAGTCCACAGAAACTATCCCACAACTTTTGTGGTTTGTCCACATGGCTTTTGGCATACTGCAGTCGACTCTTCTTATTCTTGGGAGACAGCAAGGGGGTACGCCTGTGAGTTCTGGCCCCGGAGGCCCTTTATTTTGCAGTGTGGGGGTTTTTTTTGGTTTTGGGCTGAAAAAAATTTTGTACCCCCATCTGGGCAAAACTTTTTCGTTCCTCAGCAGTCACCCGGGGGACTTCTTCCCACTCTACGCTTTTAGGTAGCGCACCGCAGTCGAAGTCAGCAAAATTTTTTTTCTGCCAAAGACCAAAGGGAGCGTTTTTTTCCGTTTCCCCCCTTTCGGGTTTTTGCGAATTTTATGCTTCCTAAGGTGTCTCTTGGTTTGTTTTTAAATCTTTGGGAATTTCTTATTGCCATTGCCCCCTTCCCGTGGAAAAGAAATCACCCTTCTCTTGTCTTCCTGGACCCCTTCTCTTGCCTTCACCATGTTTTTTTAACCACACCCCGTAAATGTCTAGAAAGGGCTGAGTACAAAAGTCATTTTTAAAA